CGTTTCGGGCCTAGACCCGAAACGTCAGCCTTCCTGCTCCTCTGATGCTGCTTGTCCTGCTGTGTTCACCCAGCTCTACACCTTGTTATCTCAGATTCTCCAGCATCTGCAGTTTCTACTATCTGAGAGACCTTGGAGTTTATTTTAAAGTTGGAACAATAGAAGCAGCATGGGTGCGGCCAGCTCTCAGATCAGACTTTCGTGTTTGTTTTTTTAGTTTTTGGGTTTTGTTTTAACATCAGAAGCCTTTGGACTTTCAAAAGAGTTGGAATCTTCAGTGGAATGTCTCCTAGCTGCTATTCTCTCTGAATCTTCTTGATGTTTTTTCCCTCCTGGATTGAAGAATCATATGAGAATCTGCCTTTTGGCCAAGGGGCATGTTTATGGGATGTTACTGTATTGAAACAGTTAATTAGTAATAGGTACTTTATCTATTATTCAGTCAAGTTTTCCAACAGTTAAGTTATTCTAATTCCTCTTTCTTCTGTTGCATTTTAACTATAGTATTTAAATAAATTGGGTTTTGCTTAAAGCCGAGTAGCTTGCCTCTAGAACATGACACCATATTTACCTTTAAAATAACAGCAAGTTAGGGTCTAGGCTACCTTCTTAAAATATATTGAGGGGATCTGATCTGGTCCATAACACACCAAAAAAAAGTATCTAACCTTTTCTCTTTGACAGTGGTGACATGTTATTGCACTGGACGTGTATAAATTCAGATGATGTTTGTGAAAGAATAGTCTATAATGCATTTATTGAAGACACTGGGGCTTTAAACTACAATACTTGCTTTTGCACTGAAAGAGCTAATTTTAAGCAAGAACAATTCTTCAAATACAGGCTTCCAAGGTTTCAGATTTTGTTATTTTACCTTCTGCTCATAAATACAGAAATGTGACTAAATTCTGTTATTTTGCCATGAAATTATCAAACATGTGATAAAGATGTTACGTACTCTTGTCCTCATTTACTCAGTTCGGCAAATGCATGAATGAATGACCTTGAAAAATACTTACATGTTGAAACCATGGAAAAATACGCCCCTTAGGACGATAATGACTGTCAACTATGCTCAGTAGCGTCTCCACCACCATTGATATCCAGTGTTCTGTTGGTAAAATATCAGCCCCGATCTACATAGACAACAAATGACATTGTGACCAGTGGACTGAAAAAAAAGCACAATATGACATGACCCTTCCTTCATTTCTCTGAATCTTTCAATCAACATCAGTTGTGCTGAGACCAGCACATGAAACATGTGGTAAATTTTCTGCGTAAGAGACTTTAAGTCTTTCTCCTGTGCAAGATTAATGAAAAGCACATTATCTTTTAACAGAATGGTTTAGTTGCTTGTCAGCTTGAATGAACAGGTTTTCATTGGACTACAGCTTCAGCTACATTTCTCACTCCGCTCTATCCGGTCCCTGTCCATTCATTATAAAGGCACATGATTGTCGTGTTTGTAGACTATAGGCAGAAATGCTTCATTGGATTTAGGAGTGGGACCAAGGGGCAGCGGAGGGTTCACTGCACTATATTTGCCACAGAACATGGGCACAATCCCTCCCCAAACAGATGGTTATGTGCAAAACAAGCAGAACATGAAAACAGCTAGCAAAACAGAACATGGCATAAACCTACTTCTGGTGCGTCATGAGCGTCCGACGGTAGGCTGCTCTCGTACTTAGCAACAGTCACAGCCAATCCACTCAAAGCGAGGATGGAATTTCCCTGCACAACAGGGCTGTCCCTGTTAAACCAAACACAGTATTTCAACCTGCTACCATCATATAGCAGCAGTCAAAGAAAATTCACAAAACAACACAGTCATCGTGAATCAATATTCGAGTCATTCTTTAGAAAGAGAAGCTGGGGACAGTGCGCTGCTGTTGACTGGCACGTTACTCTTTCATCTCTGGCACTATCATTTGTATTCAACCACAGAAAAGGATTGAATGCGTCTTCACTAAGAGTTCCATGTGAACGAGGTAGTGATGGTTTATGCTTAAGTCACTGCTAATTATGAACTCACTCAGACTGCATAATCAGAAGTCACACGATATCTCCAGCCTCTGCTTCACCTAGCGAGGGAGCAGCTCTCTGAAAGCTCGTGATTGCAAATAAACCTGGCCGCATGTGACTTCTGACTTGGTCCACACCAGTATTTCCACATCAGAGAGCACAGGAACAGCTGAGATTTTATCTTGCAGCATGGGATGAGGGTTAAGACATGCTGTTCCAATAGAAAGCATTCTGTAGCAGGGATTTGGGGCTTGTTCCATGTTGAACAAAGTTGCTCAAAGTAGAAATACATGAATGTAATCATCCACCCACATATTAGAACTGATAGGTAGATATTCCTGTGTTGCTTATATCAACGCGATTCAATAATTTAATCAAAACCTTCCTGAGTAATCAAGTCATTCCAATTGTGCACATTAATTGTAATTATAGAAGTTTGAACACACGCACCAACAGATTCAAGAACAGCTTCTTCCCTGCCATTATTAGACAGCTGAATGGATTCTCTAACTTCAAATGATGCTGGTCTTAATAATGCTGATTTTGCTATGCGTACCTCCTGTGCAACTGTAACCTTATGCCTCACACTGTCTCAACACCTATGAACTGTACGAAGCAAAAACAGAAGTTGCTGGAAATGCTCAGCAGGTCTGGCAACATCCGTGGAGAGAAATCAGAGTTAACATTCGAGGGTCAGTGACCCTTCCTCAGTTTGGAAGATGCTGCCAGACCTGCTGAGTTTTTCCAGCAACTCCTGTTTTTGTTTCTGATTTTACAGCATCCGCAGTTCTTTCGGTTTCTATGATCTCTGCGTCCTTGTTTGTTATGACCTGCCTGTACTGCTCACAAAACAAAGCTTTTCACTGTACTTAGGTATATGTGACTACAATAAGTCAAATCCTGCTACCAGGATTATTCTCTTCTCCAAACAAATTCCTCATTTCACACGCTCATTCTCACTGACGATTGAAAAGAAATCGACAACAAAATTCCAAGTAAGCAATCAGAAAGTGAAAAAAAAGTGTCTTAAATTTAAGTCTAATTCCTTTTATCAATTCTATCTTTCTAAAAATTGGGGTGGTCTTCTTGGCCTCATTTTATTTTTGCAGAAATATTTGCTTCACAAGAAGCTGAGCGCTCTGTGGAAAGTAAACTTACAAAAGGAGCAATATGAAAGAAAACAAGAATTCTGCAGGATGCAGCAGGGGCGAAACAATGAAAACATCACTTACTTTGAAGCTGATTTAACTACATCAGTCAGCAGGTCCCTGACCCTGTTAAAGAGGAACAATAGGGTTAAGATAATATATATCTACTGACAATGCATTACTTACAGAACTAACAAAAGCATTCTTTAAAATTACAGTGACTTTCTTTCTTCTTTTCACAATTGTATTGTGATCAATTAACTGAGTTTTGGGCTGATGCTGATCTTCAAAATGGTACAATTCTTGATGTTGTGCAAACAAACATACAAGAACATCTTGTTTAGTTGTCTTCCCATGTTTCACATAGAGATCACACAGCGCACACAAAAAATTGATGGCCCTTCGTAGACCATTGAACAGACAGCTATGAAACGTTTGGATGGACATAAGGTAAAAGGTACGTATAACCAGAAAATGGCCCCAAGTGCTTAAAAACCTACAGTAAACATGACTTGATCGTATTATGGATAACAGCATCCTCAGAACTAATTCACCCCACACTGTATTTGTTTCCACTAAATTTACACTTCGGGTCACCGGACTTGAAACCTTAACTCGGATTTTTCTCCACAAACGCTGCCAGACTTACTGAGCTTTTCCAGCAATGGCTGTTTTTTGTTTCTGAATTACAGCATCTGCAGTGCTTTTCGTTTTTATTTTGCACTTCCTTGTTCAACATGTTTGTGTAAAAAATGCAAATAATTTAAAGGCATATTAATTTGGGAATTCTACAAGAAAAACTGCAATCTAATTATAAAGTGGCAAATTAGTATTGCGGTCTAATAGTCAAAACGAACATATAAATGTGCTTTTGAATTCTACCTACCAGAGCCAGGAAATAAACTTTTTGTACTGCAGCTCTTCAGGATCATCTTTCCCATGCTTCTGTTGCATCTCCAGCTCAGCTTGTCTCCCCTGTAGACAAAGACATCAATCAACCATACCATCCCACAATGAAACTATTAGCAATCAGTGATTGCAGACAGGAGGAAACTGTGCATCAGTTGACACAGAGAGAGGCAGAATAAATTTAAAAGCAGGCAAGTGCTTCAAAAAGAAACCAGCATGTGGCAATTTCCTATAACCCTCCTTTCTTATACATGTGCCATTTGCCCAGTTGGAAATAAAAGGAACACAACCTGCTTGTTAATTTCAACCTGTGCCAAATCCATTCTGTAATCAGCAACATGGAGGCGGACAAAAGACTTGGCAACTGCTTTTCTGAGTATAACTCAGCGCAGGTATCATACTTCAGCTTGGAATCATTCTGATGGTCCAGTTCCAGCCTGGAACCCAAGTTTTACTTTCTTCAACTTGGAGCTCAGGGGATGACAAATGAAGGCTACGTATATCCCCCAAGGCAGTACAATAGAATTAAGAGCAGAATTAAATCAGCTTCCACTCTTTGGCACTAAAAAACCTGTTTCTTCATGTTCTAATGCACTTGACATAGTGAAAACACCTGGATTTCATGATGTTTCAATCAAGCTAACATGATAATATTGGGAGACAAGAACACTCAGTTAATCAGTGGTACAATTTTCCTTGAATTAGAGAAGGAATACTGAATGTTACTTTTTTTTTTGAAAGGTTAATTGCTGGACTTTGCTTGGCAACTGTGTAAAGTGAAGCCTTATCCAAATCACTTTTTTGCACCAAAATTTAAATTACAGACAACCATGTCACCTTTACTGAAACATAAGCATCTGTTTGTCATCTGAAAGTTAGATAGATTTAAATCTATTTCATGTGAAGCTTTGCTTTAAAAGCAAAACACAGCTGTAATTTATTTTAAATAGACAAACAGGGTACTCAATCATAAGGGATAACAAGGTGCAGGGCTGGATGAACACAGCAGGCCAAGCAGCATCATAAGAGCAGGAAGGCTGACGTTTCGAGCCTAGACCTTTCATCAGAAAACTCTGATACAATTTTAACCCCACTGCGAAGCCTCCTCTGACTCAATCATAAGGGATGTCTTTCAAATCCTTTTGAAGAAATGAACACTGTAGTTCAGAGCAATCAAGACTTGACAACATTAAAAAGGAATCAAGAACCACGGACAATTACAATGTAGCCTTGGCCTCCTACATAAAAACATTTCGACCTTCAAACCTCCTCCACCATCAGGCATGATCATATTAAAGGGGCCGAATGGCCCATTCCTGCTCCTATTTTCTGTGTTTCAATGCTTCTAACCACTCTCAGCAGAAAATAAACAAGCTCTTTTTGCAGCAGGCTGTGTATGTGAAAGAGAGAATCCATAGATTGATCCAACAGCAAAATCTGACCCAAATTTGTTGAACCATTTCCCCAACTCATCAAAATTGACTCAAAACAGTAAATTAAGCAAAGTAAGCACAAACAAAATACAGCGAGAACATCTGATGCAGTGGTTAGTTATTTAGTTATAAAATAGTATAGTCCACAGACTAGCCTGACATTATATTAAAGTTAAATGTGACTGTGGTGAACAGTACCAGAACAATTTTCAGATGGCTCCTCTTTACTGTCTCTAAGAGTCTAATCTTAAAACCAGATTAGAATATATGAATCAAACTACAAAAGCGTTCAACCTGATGGATAAACACTTGAATGCAGTTGCCCACTTCAACCACAATGTCAAATATTCAGGTTCCTTGGTTGGCAACAAATCAAGCATAATTACAGCAATTCGCTTTATGTTGCTGTACATAATTAGCAAGAGAGCCCTCAATTTTTTTCCTCATTTATTGTTACCTTGCTGCCAAAATGACAAGTACGAACACAATATGATACAGGTCACAACGTAGAACCTTTAGCTAAGCAAATAATTCACCAAAAGCTTGCTACTTCTTGTCATAGAGCAAGAAAATAGACCCTTTGGTCCAACTGATCCATGCCAACAGTGTTTTCCCAAAGTAAACTAGTCCCATTTGGCTGTGTTTAGCTCATATCCCTCTCTTTCCTATTCCTGTACCTGTTCAAATGTCTTTTAAATGTTTTAACTGTACATGCATCCACCACTTCCTCTGGCAGTTCATTCCATCTATATCCCACCCTCTGAGTGAAAAAGTTTCCCCTCTGGCCTCTTTTAAATCTTTCTCCTCTCATCTTAAACCTATGCCCTCTAGTTTTGAACTCCCCTACCCTAGGGAAAAAGACCTTTGCTATTCATCTTATCTGATGATTTTATAAACCTCTATAAGGTCACCTCTCAACCTCCTCTGTTCCAGTCAAAAAAAAAATCCTAGTCTATCCAGCCTCTCCTTATAACTCAAACCCTCTGGTTCTGATAAAATCCTTGTAAATCTTTTCTGTACTCTCTCCAATTTAATAATATCCTGCCGATAGCAGGGTGACCAGAACTGTGCACAGTGCTCCAAAAGCGGCCTCACCAACCTCCCGTACAACCTGAACATGCAGATAGGTTCCCCAATTATTGAGATATGGTTTCATATTAAGATGTAGGTGTTATTTTCTCTCTCAATGATTAAAATTGGCAGCATTTATTATTTGGCATAGCAAACCTGGCTCTCAGTGATGTAAACAAATTTTATTATGATGCAAACCATTTGTTTGTCTAGTTGCTACCACAGATTTCTTCAGGTGAACAAAGTAAATGCAGGGCCTCTGCATTAGTTCTACTTCATAGCCTCCAATCAGCCCATCACAAAAAAACTCCACCCTGTAATGGAGTACCACCAGGCATGTTTTTTAATCATATAGAAACTTATCAATTGAACAGAAAAGCAATTCTACACTTCTTTATAAAAGTAAAGAAATTTCCCTTCAAGTTTTCACTTTGAAGAGAGAATAGCTGCAGTATTTGAGTCAAACCACAAAGGATACGTTTCTTCAGAAGTCTGAAGGAGACACTATCCTGAAGGTTCGCTTAAAACTCATTTTCTATGCTTAAATGAAGCAATACCCTAGAAATACTGACTGCCTGCAGCCATATTGATGCACTATATAAAACGTAGTCTTGTGGTTCCTGTATGCACCAAATTCTAGCAACAGAAATCGTCCAGAATTTAATCAAAATTTCACCACTGAAAGAAATGCAGAAATGGCAGAGAAACGAAATGAGTGCACAGTATCTGTTTTTGCTACAGGAGATACCTGAAATCTTCTGAGGAACCAGAGATCTAAGTGGCTTAGGCGAATGAGGAGTTGAAGGAAATTACTGCAAGAAGATTATACTGCAGAAATTAATGGGGCTGAAATCTGATAAATCTCTATTACCTAATTTTCATCCCAGAGTGTTGAAGGATGTGGCTATACAGATGGTCAATCCATTGGTGACTACAGGCGGTTCCTGATTTACAAACACCTGACTTACAAAGGCTCATGTTTAAGACTGTGATCCCATACAGGGGAGAAACTTTAATGATATGACCTGCAAACATTTCCTGTACATATGAATGGCTACTTTATAGTTTCCTGCATCACATTCTGCATTGCGTACGAATGGACCTGTAGACGGACTCAGGAACAGAAACTGTTTGCAACCCAGGGACTGCCTGTAACTTCCAAAATTCTACACTTAACGGAATGATTTCTACAGACTTGAAGGTCACAAATCTCATCCCACTGTTAAAAGGGAGTGAGAAAGAAAACAGGAACTACAGACCTAAACAGAAATTGCTGGAAAAGCTCAGCAGGTCTGGCAGCACCTGTGGAGAGAAATCAGAGTTAACATTTCGGGTCAAGTGACCTTTCCTCAGAACGACAGACCTGTTTGCCTTGCATCAGTAGGAGGGAAAATGCCACAGGTCGATGATACAGGAACAGATTAATAGACATTTAGTTGATTGTGATCTGATTGTGCATAGTCAGCAAGGAATTGCAAATGGGAAATTAATATTTGACTATTTTGGAGTATTTTGTTTTAAGGATGCTACCAAAAAAATAGATCAAGGAGAGCCAATTGTTATTGAATACTTCAATTTTTAGAAATTTGATAAAGTTTTCATTGGAGGTTGGTTAGAAAATTAAAACACATTGCACAGGAGGTAAATGTTTTGGTGTGGTTTAATGATTGGTGAACAGACAGAAAACACAGTTTGGGAATAAATGGGTCATTCTCTCAATGTGTCTGGTGGGGGACCAATCGGTTCAATAACTTAGCCTCAGGTGTTCACAACATAAATCAATGATTTGGATGCAGGAACCAAATACAATACTTCTAAATTTGTGATGATACAAGGATAAGGGAGAACGTGTGAAGCGTAAACGATATTAAGTACCTTCAAGAGAATTTAGACTGCTTTAGTGAATGGTTTAAAAAAAAAATGGCAGGTAGACTGTAACGTGGAAAGATATGAGAAGGTGGAAATCGTAAAGGTGCAAAGGGACCAAAACATCCTTGTCAATAAGTCATTAAGCTACTTGGAAAGCTAATGGAATTTAGCCTTTATCTAAAGAAAATTTAAGGTGTTGCTTTAATTGCATAGGAGCTTGGAGTATTTTGTGCAGAATTGGTCTCCTTACCTCAGGAAAGATATTTTGGCAGGGAGAAAGGGCAATGAAAGTTCACCAGAATATTTTTTTTCCCCCTGGAGGTGGCAGGATGGTCCTCTAAAGAGAGATTGGGAAAATGGGCTTGTCCTCTCTAGAGTTTTGAAAGTGAAAGATGAATGACCGCATTGAAATCTACAAAATACTTAAAAGAGACAAACAGGGTAAATGCAGGAAAGATGTTTACCCTGATTGGTGAGCCTAGTATCAGGGGCACAATGTAAAGAGTAATTAAGGTGTACAGGGGTATAGGGATGGATGGGTTAAGGGCATTGAAATGTTCAATCAGGCATGGAAAGTTAGGTTCGATGGACTGAATGGCCTACTCCTGTTCTTATGTTCCCAGTATGATTCCTCTTCTAGGAAAAGTCACATGAGACTCCAAAAATTAAGTTTACTCCTCTCTCCACAGATTCTCCTGATCTATTGAGTTGCTCCAGCATTTTCCATTTATATTGAAGTTCTCCAGCGTCTGCAGCATTTCCTTTTATTCCAAAATTGATACCTGAAGCATACAGGCAACATTAAAACATGTGTGCAGCTCAGACATGTTGACACATGGATCCACATCTCGGTGTCTCTGAATAGGCAGGCACCTGATCTGCACTCTTCAGGCAAAGTCAACTCCTCTCAGAAGTCCTAACAGACCAACTCTGCAGTAATTTCCCAGGAAATTGGAACTGGAGCTTTTGGGAAAAAGTCCCCAACCTCAAGTTAGAGCGGGACACTTCGAGGACTTGCCCGAAATGTTGGAGGAACAATATCTGCCTTAACTCCTGGTCATCTATAAAGCTGGCACTCCAATCTCACATACTGACCAGCCATTGGACATCTGACCCAACAACTCTCCATGAGACACAGAACTCTTTGATATCATCCAATGCCACCTCCCAATCCTCCATACCATCCAAATGTTAATCCCCACCCTGGGTTTCCAACCCCACTCTGCAACACCAACCCATGCCCCTGGCACCTACCCTCTCACTTGTCATGCTACCCTCTCACCCACACAGCTGTGAAGAAGCCTCATGTATCACAGTCATCCACTTACCTGCAATCCCATCCCCTTTCCCACTCACCTGCCACCCTAGCACCTCATCCACCCAGCACCCTATCCCTTGACTTCCGCACTCCCTGTCCCACTTATACAATTACATTCTCTCAAGATCTATCAAAGTGGCTTTGCAACCTTTAAACATTTTACTTCATGGAATACACAATTACTGACGTGGAAGTGGGACACTGACCCTGCGTTGAATGCCCTTCTAGTTGCTTTCCTACAATGGTGGCATCCATGATAGGCTTAGAAATCTGGTTGAAAAATGCGCTGGTAGGTAACTGGGCAATCTTTAATAGGTACACTGTCAGTCAGATCTGTCTCAATGTGAATTGAAAAATCTAGAACAAAGAAACTTACAGACTATGCTCTGAAAGTCTAATCAAGTAGAATCTAAACTCTGCAGGATGAACAGGACCAAGCCGAACATAACTGATTAGGGATAGTCAACGTGGCTTTGTGTGTGGGAAATCGTGTCTCACGAACTTGAGTGAATTTTTTGAAGAAGTAACAAAGAGGATTGATGAGGACAGAGCAGTGGACGTGATCGATATGGACTTCAGTAAAGCATTCAACAAGGTTCCTTGTGGTAGATGAGTTAGCAAGGTTAGATCACACAGAATAGAGGGTGAACAAGCCAGTTGGATAAAGAACTAGCTCAAAGGTAGAAGACAGAGGGTGGTGGTGGAGGTCTATAGGAGTGAGGTTGGAAAAGCACAGCAGGTCAGACAGCATCTGAGGAGCAGGTAAGTCAACCTTTCGGGCTGAAACCCTTTCTCAGGGCAGTTGGAGGGTTGCTTTTCAGACTGGAGGCCTGTGACCAGCGATGTGCCACAAGGATCAGCGCAGGGTCTACTGCTTTTTGTCATTTACATAAATGATTTGAATGTGAATAAGAGATACGGTTAGTAAGTTTGCAGATAACACCAAAATTCGAGGTGACAGCGAAGAAGTTCATCTCAGAGTACAACAGGAATCTTGATCAAATGGGCCAATGGGCTGAGGAGTGGCAGATGCAGTTTAATTTAGATAAAGATGAGGTGCTGCGTAATAGGAAAAGGGAAATCAGGGCAGGGCTTATACACTTAAATGGTAAGGTCCTGAGAAGTGTTGCTGAACAAAGAGACCTTGAAGTGCAGGTTCATAGTTCCTTGAAAGTGGAGTTGCAGGTAGATAGAATAGTGAAGGAGGTGTTTGGTATGCTTGCCTCTACTGGCCAGTGCATTGAGTATAGGAGTTGGGAGGTCATGTTGCAGCCGTAGAGGACATTGGTGAGGCCACTTTTGGAATATTGCATGCTATTCTAGTCTCCCTGCTACAGGAAGGATGTTGTGAAACTTGAAAGGGCTCAGAAAAGATTTACAAGGATGTTGCCAGGGTTGGAGGATTTGAGCTACAGGGAGAGGCTGAATAGGCTGGGGCTATTTTAAGCTGAGGGGTGACCTTATAGAGATTTATAAAATCATGAAGGGCATAGATAGGGTAGATAGGCAAGGTCTTTTTTCCGTGGTGGGTGAGTCCAAAACTAGAGCGGCACAGATTTAAGGTGAGAGGGGAAAGATCTAAAAAGGGACCGAAGGAGCAACTTTTTCATGCAGAGGGTGGTGCGTGTATGGAATGAGCTGCCAGAGAAAGTGGGGGAGGGTGGTACAATTACAACATTTAAAAGGCACCTGGAAAGGTATATAAATGGGAAGGGTTTAAGAGGGATATGGGCCAAATACTGGCAAATGGGACGAGATTTATTTGGGATATCTAGTCGGCATGGATGAGTCGGACCGAGATAATAACATGGAACAAAAACAAAGTTGCTGAGGAACTTTCTGAGGAAGGGTCACCAGACCCGAAATGTTAATTCTTTTTTTTCTTCACAGATGCCGCCAGACTTGCTGGGCTTTTCCAGCAACTTACAGCATCCGCAGTTCTTTCGATTTTTACGAGATAATAACATGTAGTATATCTCTGTAGCCAAATGAAAATACAATATTAATTCAATAAACACTGCATCTGTAAAAGGAAAAAAAGTGTAAAATTCATGGTGGGAGATTACTGACCATGATTAACAAGAGTTCATATCGAAACTGGAGAAGAATCTAGTAAAGTCTCAAAAAGACTTAATAGTTACCTGCAGAACAGCATGAAATGTTCGCCCCATAAAACCTAGCCACGCTTGGGTCAGTAAAATAGATTTATGCCATTCGGAAGGTTGGATAGGCACCTAGAAGTAAAAAAGATCATTAGAAGAAAGAACACTTCACATTTGTATCACATCAAAATGAAAAATTTCAGATTGTCAGAACAATTATCAGCGATTATCATGCACACAATTGGCCTCTTTGATACTGCAATAAATATTGTCATCTTAGCAGTTTTGATTGCCATCAAATTTATTAATTCATTTGTGAAATGTTCAAGAATACAAAAACACAAATTAATTCATGTCCACTTTTGGTTAGCCTGCCAATGACTCAGGGAAATGTGGGGCATTTTCCAAACGTTTTTGGCTATTCATTTTTGTTGTGAAAACAGAAAGCTTTGCAGATCGGTTTATTTTGGACTCAGAAAAATTCCCACCAAAACACTTGCAATTTCTAAAGGCCCTTGTGTCCCTTGAAGAAGCTTCTATAAAGGTCTGGTTTCCCAGGGGTTGAATACAGCACAAAACCCACACTTCTAGAATAACAAAGGCAATGCTGATCAAAGCCATACACTGTTAGTTCTCAGGTGATTGTGTTGGGTTCTTTGACCATTTCCAGATGAGTTACAGCACGAACCTTTTCCTCTATCCCTTCATCTTTTGTAAAATGATGATAAAGGTGTATGAGTGTGAGAACAGAATGGTAATTAACACAACAGGGAATCCCCCTTGCAGCACGGAAATGATAAGCAGGGGCTGAGAGGAGAGGTGGGTCATAGAGTCACAGCTGTACAGCGCATAAACAAACCCTTTGGTCCAACTCGTCCATGACAACTAGATATCCTAAATAAATCTAGTCCCATTTGCCAGCATTTGGCCCATATCCCGCTAAACCTTTCCTATTCATATACCCATTGAGATGCCTTTTAAATGTTGCAATTGTACCAGCCTCTACCACTTCCTGTGGCAGCTCATTCCATATTCGAGACAAAGAGACTGACATACATATATATTTCATATGCTTTGAAGAGCAGGGCAAGGCTCGAAAATTTATTGATGAGGGCAAAGGTAAGATGCACTGAAAAGGCTGCCTGTATCTAGGGTGAATAAGTTGTCTACTCTAGATGGCTTGCATTCCCGGAAGTTGAGATTGGATAGCAAAATCTTCCCAACTTCCCTAGATACAGGACAGAAAGCAGGCGACTGGGTAGTAGGAAATCGAACACCTTTGTTCGAGCAAAGTAGTAAGAATATTCCAAGTAACTACGGCCAAGTCAGTTTAATATCAGTGCTGGGTAAGATTTTAAAAGCAATAATAAAGGGGAAACATTAACAAATTCCTGGGAATGATTTGAATTAATTAATTAAAGAGAGGCTGTATGGATTTGTAAGGGACAGATCTCACATTTGCCTAATCTGAATGAAATTTCTGAAGAAGTAATAGAGAAGGTTGAAAGAGTCAGTGTAATGGATTCAGAGATAGTAGGAACTGCAGATGCTGGAGAATCTGAGATAACAAGGTGTAGAGCTGGAGGAACACAGCAGGCCAAGCAGCATCTGAGGAGCAGGAAGGCTGATGTTTCGGGTCTGGACCCTTCTTCAGAATGTTCTGCATGTGGATTTTAAAGAAGTTTTTGACACATTTCCAAATTAATGACATTGGAAAACAGAGTGAAACTTCAACATTTGCTGGTATACTAAACTTGCAGATGAGGCAAACTGTGGGGGATACAGTTGACTGCAACAGGACATAGATAGGGATGTAGAATGAGCAGCTATGTTGCTAATGGAAAAGAACAAGATGGTGCATTTGGGAGAAGGTATGGGGAAAAACAATATAGACACAATGAAACAGTTCTAAAGAATGAGCAAGAGGGATGTTGAGGGATGTTACATGCACAGAGCTTTGAAGGTGGTAGGTCATTTTGAGAGAATAGTTATCAAAGTATTGGTTATCGGGAGCTTCGTAATTTGCAGTATGACTACAAAAGCACAGAGGTGATGCTGATCCCTGATCAAGTTCTGGTTAGGTCACAACAATAGTACTACATCCAGTTCTAGTCACCACAGAAGGTGCAGAAGAGTTTTACCAAAATGCTTCCAAGGTTAAGAAATTTTAGCTACAAGATTAGGTTGAAGCAGCCAGGCTTATTTTCTTTGGAGAAAACAGGATAATCCGGAGATCTGACAGAACTGTACAAGATTATGAGAGATGTGGTTAAGGTGGACAAAGAATAAACTGTTCTCCTTCCGTGATGGTTCAAGGACTAGAGAGCACAGATTTTATGTTTTGTGTAAGAGGTACTGGGTGATATGAGGAAGAACGGGTTTCTAAACACAGAGAGTGATAATGATCCACAAATCACTACTTACAAAATGTTAGCGGCAGAAATGTTGAATGGCCTCAAAGGGAAACTGAATTGGTGCCTGCGCAAAGTATAGCTGATGGCTATGAGAATAAAGTTGGGGATGAGACTGCGGGGTTTCTCTACAAAGAGCCGGCACAGAATTGATGAGCCTTCTGTGCTATAATGACTAAGACGTTCTTAAACAGGGTTTCTCCTGAAATTTTGATAGCTTCTCCCAATGGGACGACTTCTGAAATTCCAGGGAGATTTTTCTTGCACGCTGCCTTGAACCATTCTGGAAATTTCTGCTCTCAAGCCATGGAGTTCAGAAGGGCGTAAATGGTTCAGAACATGCTGGAAAACTCATTGACTCATTTCAAGACAGAAACCTCAACTGACAATTTGCTGGTGGTTGCTTAAGTTACATCATGTTCTTTGTTAATTCAGTCTAATTTTGAATTTATCCCACAAGCAGGTAATAATTTTGAATTACTGGTTCAAATTTAGACCATTTTGCTGCTTTTATTTTGTGATTCCATTTTAGTAACATAGCTGCTTTTGTGAATATAACTCAGTTACCATTCAATACAACTCAGTTCCCAAGTAACTGCATGAAAAATTAAGCAATTAAGGAGCAAGCAATTCAAATAAATCAATCTACTTCCTCTGTTCTAATTGTGTCAACATCACAGAGTAATATCCATATTTTGTCAACATTTCTATGAGTAGAACTGGCTAAACTGGGCACATCCTGCAGAGATAGTAGTCCTGATTATAGAAACCTGCAAAGGGAAATCATCTGAAGATGGGTCTTGAACCTAATCTCTGAAAGAGAGAGCTGTTTCATTGGAGTTGTAACATTTTATACGACGGTGCTGATATTTTCTTTGGCAGGTTATTCCAGGGTGGAACCGTCCGTAGTTGGAAACAACTTTGGGTGGTCAACACACCAACAGATCTATGCATACATAGAGGAGCAGAGAGTTGTATCTTGACAGAATGTGTGAAAGAGAAAGAGGGGGAGTCAGAGTGCTTTGCACTAACTGGGAATGTGAAGGAAAAAGAGTTGCACGCTGAATGAGAAGGAACATTAAACACTGCGTAGGGTAAGGGTGAGGTGGAAAGACAGAGGTGGTAGAGAATGAGCACTGACACTAACCGAGGGGAAGGAACAGAAAGAGAGAGAGATTGGGAGAGAGCATGAGAGAGATGCACACAAAGAGAGAAAGTTCCATTCTGAAAAAGAGAGCGAGATGTTACACACTGACAGAGAGAGAGCGCGCTACATCCTGACAGAAAGAGGCAGTGACTGGGTGAGAGAGATACAGAAAGATAGACAGAGACAAAGAGAGAGAGAGAGGGAGGGAGAGAGTGCAACAGCGAGTGACAGAGAGAGAGAGAGACAGAGACAGAGACAGAGAGAGAGAGACAGACAGAGAGAGAGAGAAAATGAGACAGAGAGAGACAGAAAATGACAGAATGAGGGACTCAGAGAATCACACACACACACACACACACACACACACACACACACACACACACAAATGTATGAAATTATAGAAAACAAATTTACATTTTTTGTTGGCCAGTAAGCAATCACGTGCGGTCAATACACAATCAGGTGCAATTCTGTGCAAACACTAAAAAACATTTGACATGTGTTTCACGAGCAGCATAGATATATTACCTCATGGATAAGGGCTGCAAGCATCTGCTGGTAGCTACGGCCCCGGCTCACCAGAAAGCGATTAATAGGCTTGCCATCTTTATCAGTCTGAACATGTAGATCATAACAAAGTAATAAACCAGCTGAAAGAAAGCAGGAAAAGCTTTAACAGGATAACTAACTTTCAGAAGGCATACGAGAGTGCAAACTGTAAATCCATAACATATATCCTAGCCCAGCAATGCTAATGCTTTCAGTGAGGTATAAAGACCTTCAGCTTGAGAGGTATAAACTATAAACCCAGGGTTAAAGCTTTGGGAATGCTGCTACTTTTTACATTTTGTTTTCCTTGCTCATTCTTCTGAATGAAGAATGGAAACAGGGCCTCTTTAAGAAATTAGTACTGGGGACGTTCAGCAAGTCTCCCACTTGGTATTTCATGGGAAATGAGAGAAGTACACATGAAGCATTAGTGGCACTTTTAGAAGCTCTTGGTGCATTTGGTTACCAAATAAACAGAAAACAGTTTCACTTCTTTTTAGCAAACCAAATTTGAAACCTTTTATCCTGAGCCGGCCTGGATTTTGTGGTAGAAGTAGCTCTGAAGTTTGCAGTCGTCACTGGTATTGAAGAGTATAATCTTTTCGCATCTGCACACGCGAAGTAGAATACAAACTGATGGAAGTTGTTGTTCAGTTTGCTGTCCTCCTCCACAAGCAATATCTCACCAAAAAACAAATGCTTAAAATATATGTTGAATATGCTTGCTGCACACTTAACACATCAGAAAAGGTGAGTTATTTCCTAATCAATCAGTTCAGAGATGTTATTACACACCTCTGGAGCAGGTGGGACTTGAAGACAGGTCTGCTGGATTTTGGAGAGAGGGACATTACCACTAGAGCCCCAAAAGCATTTGTCCATTCTAACATAAGTGAGGTTTTAGTTGCATGCCAAGTATTAAACACAACTAAACAAACTTTTCGGCAATTAAAGTTTCATTTCACAAGGCAGCAGTTACGTTCCTTCAATTATCAATTATCTTTGGATACGGAAACAAGATTTTTATTTCAAAAATCGTTTTCCTTTCCGGCTCTTTTGCCTCTCCTTAGACCCCAGTTTCACTACATTTATCTTACTTTCTGTACACAATTTTTCACTGAACGAAGTGTTCCCACCAGCACTTCCTAATTCAGACTCAGAATTCCTCAACACGACTTGACTGAGCAGGCACAATGTTGCCTGACCTATTCGATCAGACTTCTTGTCAACTGCATCAATCTGTATCTAATGTTGCCCTAAGTTGACAAAAATTCTAGATGGTTGAAACTACTATAAGAAGGTGAGTGGTGCCTCTTTACCACTACCTACAAAACTCAAGCTACTGATTTAGCCAAGGACTAGCTATCCTGGCCCTTTGGATGCAATAAATTCATGACTGATCACAACTTCTCAATGGCCCTATACTGATCAGAGTTAACCTACACTTAACTCCTAAAAATTGGAGGAACTTTCATATGGATAAACACACCCAGCTATATGCTTAAAGTGCAAGTATTAAGTGGAGGGTTAAGGATGTTAGCGAGACTGGAAGCTTTGAGTGATAAGGAGAGGCTGTTTAGGCTTGAACCTTTTTAAACTGGGGCCTAGGAGGTTGAGGGGTGACCTTATAGAGACTTATAAATCAGATGGTGAATAGCCAAGGTCTTTTCCACAAGGCAGGTGGGTCAAAACCTAGAGGGCATAGGTTTAAGGTGAGAGGGGAAAGAGTTAAAAGGGACCTGAGGGGCAAATTTATTTTAAAATGCAGAAAGTGATGCATGAATGAGCTGCCAGAGGAAGTGGTGGAGGTGGATACAATTACAACATTTAAAGAATATTTGGACAGGTACATGGATAGGAAATGTTTAGAGGGATATGGGCCAAACACTGGCAAATGGAACTAGTTCAGTTTAGGAAACCTGGTTGGCATGGATGAGTTTGGCCAAAGGATTTGTTTCTGCACTGTAAAAAAGTTTTGTTGTTCAATCTATTTTTCTGATCAACCTGCTGAGATGTTATTACGCACCTCTGGAACAGACGGGACTTTAAGCTTGGCCTCCCAGTCCAGAGGTAGGAACACTACTACAGTGCCAGAAGTGGGCCCAAATGCCTCTATAGAGTGCTTACAGTAGGCTCCTTGTGTCCCACTGTACATGCCTCTCTGGCAAACCAGGAGACAAGCAATACTTTCTCTACGTTTAAAGATAACAGGCATGCCAGCAAGAGTCTGTGTTAACAGAAATCTCCTGAGACTTAGGGGGTTAAAATAAGAGCCATCAAGCCTGAATCAATTCAAACAAAATTAATGTTGTTCCAATGCATTTGCATGAAGGGGGAAACCGATGATTAAAACCCTGAAAAACCTGGACTTCCAAAAATGTTCCCTGGGGCATTTAGAGCACATTGCATTTAACAGCCAAATAAGAAGCGACCCTTGCATTATACTTGATGAATCAGATTTGTGTGCTGAGTCAACGCTACATTATCCCATCATCGCCTGAAATGCAAAGTAGCCACAAGTTTCTGTCATTGCTCACTTTGGTCAACGCATCCGGAGATCCATCCTTGCCTTTCCCAAATCTGGTGTTATATTCCACTAGTGAGACCTTGGTGTCAAAGCCAGGGAAATAATTTATAACAAAATATTTTGGGATAACCCTTTAATGACTGGCAACAATTACAATAATGATCCTTTTTGTAGTTAAAACCCAGGCCCAACATGTTCATGTCAGTGTTTATGATCCACACATTTATACTTACAAATTTACTACACACTAGCGAAGCAAAACATTCTTTTATTCTTTTTCCAGTCATGTGCTGACCTAGGTTTTGCTTTAAAGCAACAAGTGAATTGTCTCAACTCTTCAAGCAGTAGTGAATTGCTCAACATTCTCTGACCAAGTAAATTTCTCTTAAATTTCTTACTGAGTTTCTAAGTGGCTGTCTTGTTTTTAAATGGACCCTAGTTTTGGGCTCCCGTACACTCCCACCCTAATCTGCTTTCTCAATAAATGCCTTTGTAGCACCCTCTCAATTCCAGAGAAACACAACCCTGAACCTGTTCAGTCTTTTCTGACTGTCATACTCACTTAGTTCTGGTGTCAATCTCATGATTTCTTAATGCACTTACTCCAGTGTTTCGATACAAATGCGGATCGGAATGATGCACTGTTCAATTGTGCTTTGACCAAGATTCCATAAAGTTTAGAATAACTCAAGTAGGCACTTTATTTCTTTCAACATTAAACTTTACATGTGCTCTTTGTAGCTTTGTTAACTTGCATCACCACTTTTCATGACTTACACACCTCAAGATTAGTATCGCTATCTTATAGTGACTCTCATTTGTCAAGGAGTATGCAAACTCCTTATTGTCCCGACTAGAATGCAACACCTCTTCCCATTTATAACGGAATTCATTTGTCATTTACATGTCCATCCCACAAATTTGTTATTATCTTCTATTTTACTGCAAATGTCGTCACTATTAAGTATACCCTCTGAAGAGATCAGACCAGACTCGAAACATCAACTCTGTTTTTCTCTACACAAACTTGCAGTGTTTCTCCAGCATTCTCTGCTTGTTTCAGATTTCCAGCATCCACAATCTTTTGGTCTTTTTAACTAGACTAGTTTAGAAGAATGACAGGTGATCTCATGAAAACATTTACGATTTTTAGGGGCTGTGAAAGGCGGGGGCTTGGCTGAGAGGTTGTTTCCACTTGCAGGAGAGTCTAGGACCAGAAAATACAATCTCAGAACGAAGAATCATCCAGTTAGTACAGAGAGGAGGAGGACTTTCTTCTCTGAGGACTGTGGAATTGTTTACTGCAGAGGGCTGTCAAGGCTGGGTCATTAAGTATACTCAAGGCTGAGATAGATTTTTTTCATCACTAAGGTAATAAAGGCGTAAGGGGAAATGTCAGGAAAACGGAGTTGAAGATTATTAGATCTCCCACGATCTCACTGAATGGCAGAACAGACTTGATGGGTTGAATGGCCTACTTCTGTTCCTCCGTCCTATCGTCTAGTCCTTGATGAACAATGTAGAGAGAATTGATCAAACAACATATAATTTGAAAACTAGGAAAAGTCCAGAGTACTCTACACACATTTTAAGTGTACTTTACAAAGCAAAGCCTTATTTATGCAAAGTAAGATAATATTGTCTAAAAGTACAAGTCATAAATTCCTTAACATATTAGCGGTTCCCAAATGTTTTTATCTTTAAAAACTAAAGTGGTAGATCACTTTTCTGAGGGCTATGTAAAGAGGAGAAATATTTTTATGCGATGTGTTATATTAAAGTATTAAGTAATTGATATGGAATTATTAAAACCACAGAGGAATTTAATCATCTTCATAGTAATATTTTCATCTCTATCTTACAAAGAGGTTTAAAATAGATGTGGTTTGTGGCATTCCCCAAAAAAACTTCAGCTTGATACAAGGCTACAGTACACATTGAGGATTTCACCGTTCTCTCAAAATGAAATATAAGAAAATAAATCCCATGTCGTTTTAAAAATCCCAACGGTCTTACTTAAGTGAACGCTTCTCCACTCCACTATACTTCTATGTGTCCACTCTAATTCTGTGACTTTATTTTTGTTGCAGTTTTTACTCAATTATCTTTATTTGAGATATCTACGACCTCACACAGAAACTTTAGATGATTTATTAAGTGACAATAAAGCTTAAAATCAAATCAAATTTTTTTAAAAATTATCTGGATATATGGCATTGCAATGATGAAATTAGTTTGAGTTGTGAAACGTCTTGGATTACAGATAAGGTGACAATGCTGCTCAAAATGCTCTTGTCAATAAGGTTGATCATTAATTCACCTGCCAGACCAGACTTCAGTCCAGGTTGTTTGTTCTTCTCATACGTCTTGAGCATGAAGTTAGGAATCCCCGCCACAGTCTTGCCTTGGTCAGAGCGTACAGTTCCTCCTCGGAGTGCCGAGTAATAGACCCCACGGGGCATCACCGTTAATTCTTGGGTCACGAGAGATGTCAAAAACTCTTCAAAAGCTGCAAGGAAAGGTCAAAGAACTACTACTTCTGGCTGTCACAGTGGACAAATTAGTAACTGCAAGTTCAAATTTAAATAGTATGGTCAAGACAATCACTCCCATGTGTTATCTTGACTTTGAGTTCACCTCTGCCTAAACTTCTATCCAGGAAGTTATCAGTAAGCTATGTCAGATGCTGCATGGAAGAGACAAATGTTTTTAACTCTTTCCTCCTCAGTGATTAATTACTATGTTGGCAACACTGGCCTCAGGACAAACATCTCATTAAAAACAGAATGGCATGAGTTCACCTTCTATCTTCTGGATCAGCCACAAAGACTTTTAGTCACAAATTCTGTTCAAAATTAAAGCCAACTATGACATGGGCTTACAAATATAATTTTGGATCTAATGACCCGATCTATATAATTTTTGAAATTGAGTTTACAATACTCAAAATCTGAAAAATAATACAATGCATGGAATTACTGTCTGATTATTATGTCTAGAAAAATGGTGAATAAACCAAATACTTGACAAAAATTGTACAAATCAGCTAAATTATTTATTTATTGCAAACTTTGCTTGTGATGGTGATAATTGGCATTTGTATAGATATCAGAGTATGCATTTAGCAAAAAAAAAGAGGAATTGCTTTACATTCATTATACCAGGATTTAAAAATAAGACTAAACAGAATTGCATATTCTGAAATCAAATAGAGTTTTAGAAAAAGGAGGATCCCAAATTAAAGCTTAAAGGCATGCTTGAGCAATCTTCACTAACCGATGATCATCTGCAGGTTTCAAAGATGATGCACAGACTTGGGTCTCTCACAGCATAACCATACATACAGTAAAAGAGAAGAGCTCTGATTCAACCTGGTAACTCAAATCTACTGTTGCCCAAAAGAGAAACAAGTCATGGAGCTCTGTGTTCTACCATTCAGTGAGGTTGTGGTTGATCTGTGACCAACTCGATTTACCCACTTTGGCTGTGTCTCTTAATACCATTGGATTGCACAAATTGCTTCCAGACTTAAAAACGACAGTTAACCCAGCACTATCTGCTGCTTCTAGAAGAGAGTTACAAACTGTGTGTGCAGAAGTATTTCCAAATTTCACTCCTGTAAGTTCTGACTCTCATTTCAAGACTACGTTCTTTGATTCTAGACACCCCAACTGGTTGAAATAGCTTCTCACTCCCTGTGCCATCAGTTCCTCTTCAAATCTTGAAAACTTTGAACTTAACCGCGATTTGTGTAACATCTCGCCAGAATGTAATGTTTGGAGTTCTGGTACCTTTCTGGGAAACTGGCACTGTCCTCATGTCATGATCAATACATTATTCCCAAAGTGTGGTGCCCCAAACTGAATGCAGGATTCTAGATTTGGTTTAACCAGGGCTTTGTATGAGACATGACTTTACCTCCTTTATAATCAGAGACCTCTAGATATACATTCCACTTGTTTTGTTCGGAAGATTAGTGTAGAGACGGAGGAAAGATTGGCATCCATTTAATACTTTCTGGTACTGTTCTTGAACATAATCACTTTAGGAAGACACAGAGCCATGACTATCCAGCACTTAGATTGTCTAGAATGCAGTCTTTTATTTCTAGATTTACTGACCAGCAGGCTAGCAAAATTCTCACTATTAGTGGCCGGAAAATTTGCTGTTCCAGCAACAGGAAAATCACAATGCAAAACTGTGAAGTCAGTCTCCAAAGACAGTGATGCAATTGTCTTGCCAGGATTGGCTATCTATAGAAAGCTATTAAGAGCTCTGGGACGTTTTTCTTCACTAAAGGCTCTTTATAAATGCAATCTGTTTAGTGCTGTAGCAAGTGACAAAACTTGCTTCAGTTACTGTACAGTAAAGCCTTCCTGAACTAGGCCATCCCAAATAAACAACAAACATTTGGGATCTAATCACTTAACATGAGCTGAAGATGTAGGTGATAAGCTGAGTCCATCCACCGTCCTGCCACACTCCCCATGATGACCATGTCAATGTGGAACCAGCTAACACCACGGCGATCAGAAAAAGTAATTCACAGACACATGCTTTCTCAGATCAACAGGTAGGAATGGAACAAAATATACAAAACCAGGTACATCTGTGTACAAACCTGTTTTTAATATCAGCATATCTCGCTAGAAATTAAGTTAAATGCTGACTTGCATTTAAATAAGTTTTTTTTTTAAACCTACAATTAATGATGGAATCAACTCACATTACATCTCTTCAATCACAGAGGGTAGTTTATGTGTGGAATGAACTACCTGATGAAGTAGTAGATCCGGGTACAGTTACAAGTTTAAAAGGCATTTGGATGGATATAAGAATAGGAGAGGTTTGGAGGGATATGGGCCAGGGGCAGGCAGGTGGGAATAGTTTAGTTTCGGATTGTTTTCAGCATGGACTGGTTGGACCAAAGGGTCTGTTTCCATGCTTAATGACTGTGACTCTCAGTGAATGACCAGTCAAGTCACAGAGTCATAGAGTCACACATCACGGAAACAGACACTTTGGTCAAAGTAAGTCAATACAGAACATAATCCCAAAATAAACTAGTTTATTAAACTTCAGAGCAAGGCTCTTCTCTTCAAATCACTGCACAGTTATTTCGAGTAACCAGATTAGAGAAATGTCATCCATTGCTTTGTAGTGCTCAGTGTTTCCAATCTAATGCTGATACATTAACCTGGATGAAATTTGAACAGCAATACCACAGTGTTTAGACAAATATCTGTTCCAATGTCTTAGCTTTTGTTTCACAACATTTTCATGGAGATAACATTCAAAGGACACATGGGGAAATGCAGCATTGAATCTAAGATTTCAAATGGGCCTACCTTTTGGTTCTTCATTGGTTTGATTACCACCCCATTTCGCCCTTTAATCACTTTGTCTTCCCCTTCAAAGATCCGACCACATGTCTCTTCCTCCCTCCAAAATCCCCATTATTCCATTATTTCCCTGGCTCTGCGCTTGTTTAGAAGCTGTTAAACCTGCAGCTTTTTATTATAGTACAAAAGTCATCAATCTGATCCATCAACTCTGCCTCTCTCCTTATAATACCACCTGAGCTGATGAGGATTTCCAGCATTTCCCGCTCCTATAACACAACCTAAGGGTTTGGTGAAAGACGCGGGACATCGGGAGAATCAGTCAGGAGCTGCCAAACCACAGTAGGAAGGTCAGAGGGGAGGCTGCAGCGCATTGGTTATGCTGGTATAGAATTTCTATTAGATTTCTTCAGCAAAATGCCCAGGTATTTAAGGATAGACTGCTGACTTGGATGTTCTTTAGTACCCTATATTGCCTACTTTAATTAATGATGAAATAGCATGACTTCACACCATTTTTTGCATCCCTGAGCCCTTGTGTTCAAGAGCTCTGACTGATAGTAATGTGGTGGGTATTTTTGTAAAGGGTGGAATGGGGCACTGGGAAGTTGATATCCAAATTACCAACATGCAGGCTCTCTTTCAAAGCTCAGTCCCCTACCGGGTGTTCAGTTGTCCCAACAATTACGGTCTACCAAAAACATTTAACAGCTAATTTTTCTACCTGCTGCTCATAGAACAGAATCGTAGAATCCCTACAGTGTGGAAGCAGGCCATTCAGGCCACAGAGTCCATACCGACCATCCGAAGAGTATCCCATGTTGACCCACACCCTCTACCCGATCCCTGTAACCCTGCATTTACCACTAACCCACCAAGCCTGCACATCCCTGGACATTGTGGACAACTTAGCACGGCCAATCCACCTAACCTACACGTCTTTGGACTGAGAGAGGATACTGCAGCACCCGGAGGAAACGCATGCAGACACAGGGAGAATATTCAAACTCCACACATACAGGCTGGATTAAAACCCGGGTCCCTGGCACTGCCCAGTGCTAACCACTGAGCCATCATGCTGCACTGTTGTCAATGCTTCTGAGAAAATTCAACAATCTTATTTCAGGCTGTGACATGGACAGCTCGCAATCGTTTGGTCTCATTTCATGAAGCATGAATGATGGTATTCAGACATCAGAAGCTAATTTAGCAGAATTAATGTTTCAAACCTGGTTTTTAACAAATGTTGTTATTCAACTACATATCAATGTTATGCCTTAATTTTAAGATAAGATAATTAAAGCCTTAGAACATACCAGAAAACACAGGCAGAGGTGTCATTAAAAGCAGCTTCATGTAAGATGCACCTGGGACTGAAAGATCTTCTTCCTTTTCTTCTTCTTCATCCTCATTCATTTCCATCTCATCACTTTCATAATCATGTTTTCTTTCTGGCCTTACCTAGACAGAGAATTCAGCATTAATTCATCACCAGCCTATTAAGAGATTCTCAAACTATCATTTGGTTATGTACAAATATAAATCAGCAGATTTCTACATTGCAACTTGGCCAAAAATAGCCAAATTTATTCACTTTCATCTTTGATTACCATTAGGCCCCATAGGCCATGAAAATATGGAGGGTCTACTTAAAACTTGAGTACAAAGATGACGTTTAAAAAGCCCAGGAGTCTGGATGGGATGATCTTTGGAGGGTCAGTATGACTCAATGGGCTGAATGGCCTTCTTCCGCCCTGTAGGACTCTACGATTCTATGAAGTTGATCACACCATTTACAACTTGCCTGACCTTACAACTCCTGGCTTCAACTAAGCTGCAATAACAAGTCAAGGTGTAAATTACTCACGGATCTGCATTTGCCTGATTTTCTCTGGACGCTTTCATCTAACATTGGAGTTCAAATCTCTACACTGTTAATGTCGATAGAATCTATGCTAAAATGACAGTCCCTCTGGTGACAGCTTGTGTGTCTTTTATAGCTGGTTCGCTCAGATGCTTTAGACGAAGAAATCAAAATCTGGGGCTACAGTGAGATAGTCGAATAAAAAGACTGCTGCTAGGACTCAAGTCCTGAAACAAGGGTTCTAGCAGAGAAAACCCCAAACCTTCCAGTCACACAGCACCCAAATACATTTAAGGGTATCATTGAGAAGCATCTGGAAGAGGTGAAAAAAACCATTATTTCAGTCTGAATGTGCACCAAATCGTTGCTTTCTGATACTGAAGCTCATTGTTCCGAATTCTTCTCTGCTCAAATTCCGTATTGGGCACCTGCAGCATTGAAAGCAATAGGCCCTAGGTATCCCGTACAGTGGACCAAAGCAGAGGAGAGCAAGCCTTGGCTGGGAGCGCACTTAAGAAAACAGAGTTGACCTTTTAAAACGGAAGCAGCAATCACTGGAAAAGCTCAGCAAGTCTGGCAGCATCTATGAAGGGAAATCAGAGTTAATGTTTTGAGTCCGGTGACCCTTCCACAGACCTCTATTCTGAGGAAGGGTCACTGGACCCGAAACATTGACTCTGAATATCTCTCCACAAATGCTGCCAGACCTGCTGAGCTTTTCCAGGAATTGCTGTTTTTCTGATTTACAGCGTCCGCAGTTCTTTCAGTTTTTAGTTGGCGTCTTAGCTTTGTTCCTTTATGTTTCCACTTAATACAGTCAGTTCTGCTGGAATGCAATAGTTGCATTCCTGCGCAACATTGCATAATAGAAAATCGCGCTATAGAAATAATGGGGCCTATGGAAAATGTGGGGTTAGGGGCAGGCCACCAAAAAATGTCACTCAAGAATCGCTCAAAAGTCACTCAAAAGCCTAATACAAAAGATAGCACAGTTTGAATAAATGTTTAAATCGTATCTAACAATGAAATAAAAGTGAATTTAACACCTTACCTTGAAAAAATGTCAAGACGACTTGATGGGGGAGGAAGTTTTGAGGTTGCTCTGTTGTTAATGCAGGGGCTGAGGGTCGTCATCGTCATCACCACCTTCAGGTGCAGTTGTGGTTGCAGGGTTAGGGCAAAAAATAGTTAATCCAGAAGTGGGTGGCTGTGGTTCATTGTCTTCTGACTGTTTCCTGGGGGTTGGCTTAAAAAAGACATCCAGTTTTTGCTGCTTTGCCCCTTGTCTTCTTTCATGAAGAAGTTGTTCATAGGGTGCCAAATAAGATCTTATTCCACAAACCCTGCTGCATTCTGCATTGTAATTGTTGTCCTTTAAGAGCTGTAACTGCTTCTCAATTTCCCTCAGGATTGAAGACAAAACAGAAGTGGAAAGCTCTCATGGTGCTGCATCCTGGACTTCATCTTCTTCATCTCCAGCTTCCACTTCCCCCTCAGTGACAAGTTGTTGTAGATCAGCTGTTAGAGAGGTCTTCACAGTGGGACTCAAGCAGATCTTCAACATCCTCACTCTGCACTTCTTCAAATCCAACTTGCTTTGCAAGATCAACACAATGTTCTATGATTCTTGGGAACTCCTCTGACAGGTGAAAGCCTTTAAAATCTTGAAAACAAAATCTGGGAGAGGCTTCCACCAAACTGCATGCAAGCAGTCCTTACTGCCATCACCCCAGGCCTCCATGATAATGTCAATCACATTCTTGACGTTAAAGCTCTTCCAAAATTGAAGAGCACTGTCCTTATCCCCCTCAGTGGCTGCAATCAGCCTCTTAAATGTGTGCATTAAATAATAAGCTTTAAAAACTACTATTGCACCCTGGTCCATGGGTTGAAGGTGAGAGGTTGCATTTGGGGGTAGAAATGGCACTTTGATGTTTTCAGAAAGCTCACCAATGGTGGGAGGATGGGTTGGCACATTATCCAGGATGAGGAGAATCTTGACATGTAATTGTTTTTTTCCCTGCAATACTTTCTAAGAACATCTTCCAAAATACCAACAATAAGGTCAGAAAAAATTTGTCCAGTCATCCAACCTCTTTTACTTGACCTAAAGTAGATGCCTAGAGTAGACCTTGAGGTAACATTTCAAGGCTCATGGGTTGGCAGAATGGTACACAACCACAGGCTTAAGGTTTAAGTCTCCACTGGCATTGGCACCCAGCACAGTCATATGATCCTTTGCCAACTTAAAGCCTGGTGCATGCGCTTCATTCATAGAAATGTAGGTTCATGATGGCATTCACTTCCAGTATAAACCTGTCTCATCCAAATTGAAAAGTTGATCCAAGTTGTAGCCATCTTCATCAATTAATTTTTGTGACTATGGGAGGAAATGCCATCGCATGCTCCTCATCTGCACTGGCAGCTTCAACACATAACTTTACATCATGACAAATATACCTGTTCTTAAAACCAGGAAACCAGCCACTGCTAGCACTAAAGACAGGCATATCTGCAGGATTTTCAGGTTTTTTTTGTTAGATCTCTAAATTGATAAGGCTTTCTCTTTAATGGTGAGAAAGGTGGTCCCAGATCACCTTTTCATTTGATCTTTTATCCACACACTTAGAAACCGCTCCACATCCTCAAGTTCCTTTGTCTGTGACCTCACAGATTTGCTAGCACTCAGACTTGTTTCAGTAATACAGCTTGCTCTAATCTTTTCTGCATTGTCTCTCATGGTGCATAAGGTAGACTCCTTTATTCCTGTTACACGAATTATATCGCATGCTCTCTCATTACACTCAAAACACTCTATAACATCTAGCTTCTCTTCCAGTGTTGTAGCCTTTCTTTTACACTCACCACCCACAATGTTATCACTAGGATGCTTCTTGCTAACTTCTTGTCTCTTTGTCCTCGCATTTTGTGCGTAACCGGCAGAATTTGCAAAAAAAAACCTGAAAATAATGGAGTACAGTACCTCTCACAGGAAGCATTTCATGACAACATCTGCGAAATGATCGCGCAATGCTGGCATGGAGACTCTTTCAGCGTTAACATGTCGCATGCTCAGGACAAAGCCTGCAAAATGATCATGTGATGTCAACACGTACTCCTCCGTGCACGAATAGAATCACATTATAGCCAACCCAAGGTCACATTTTAGAAACAGTGTTCCCCTATTTGTCAGTGGCGTTATAGACAATTTGCATTGCCGTAACAAGTATTATATCAGAACCAACTGTACTAGGAAGGCCTGTACTGTTAACCATAAACTTTATTTCTTTGTTTTTCTACTTATACTAAGAACAATGGTAATACCTGACTTTTAACTCTGTGTCGCTATGTTCCTCCCTGTACTGAAATTTTGCACCCAGGTACCTTCATACCTAAGAAGATCTCGTGTGTGGTGAGATTGCGCACTTTTCACTGTACTCTTGTAATTCTGTACTTAAGTACACATGACAATAAAGCTTAAATCAAATCAAAGTACACAGGTCTTTCCAACCTCCTCAATCAGTAAATGCCTGACAATCTCCAGGGAACAGTGAGATATATGTATATGTTTTGCATCTCTTCTACGATCACAAAGACAAAGCTGCAGCATTTTATTCTACCTTTTCATGTATACCTTACTTTAATTAAATCAATAACATCAGTAATCTGGGAGTTAAAACCTGACCAGCCTGCAAGACAACTATCCTGATTTTTATATTTTGGTACATTCAAAGACGTGTTTTGAGAACAGTTCCTTTTTCAGGGCAGTCTTTCATATATATGCACATGAAACAATTTAGACCATAAGGAGATAACACAGTGTGGAGCTGGAGGAACACAGCGGCCAGGCAGCATCAGAGGAGCAGGAAAGCTGACGTTTCGGGTCGGGATCCTTCTTCAGAAATGATCATGTGATGTCAACACGTACTCCTCCGTGCACGAATAGAATCACATTATAGCCAACCCAAGGTCACATTTTAGAAACAGTGTTCCCCTATGTTCCTCCAGCTCCACACTGTGTTATCTCAGACTCCAGCATCGGCAGTTCTTACTATCTCTTAGACCATAAGGAGATCAGCAGGTCTGATTGTATAATCATGTGTGGATAATCATTTATTCTGGGCCTCCTCCAATGTCACAATGAGGCCACATGAAAACTGGTGGATCAACACCTTATATTCCACCTCGGGAGCTTATAGCCCAATGGCCTCAACATAGAATTCACTAGCTTTAAAATCTCCCTGCCTCCCCAGCCTCATCCCATGTGTTACGAAGGGGCATGGCCGAATCCCTCTGATAATTAAACTAAAACACAAGCCCCAATCTGTAATGACAGGAGTAGGGGCTCCCTCTAATAATTACCCCCTAAAACACCCAGAGAAGCTCGTCTTTCCCCTCATAATCTATTGTAAGATTGGTTAAAAGAAACAAAATCCCTGATCTCCGCTTTACAAGTAACAAGAAACAATTTATTTAACCCAACAATGAACAAATTACTAAAATTACTAACAAACCAATAATTCCCTCTTAGACTACCAACCACTCCCTGACTGGTCTAAATTCTATTGGAATGCTGTTTAAATAAAAACAAGACCTA